TGTGTTCGGGACTTTTGAAGTGGTACCGACGATTCTGCAAAGAACGAGAAAGCCTTGAAAACAACTCTGCTGTAGATGAATTTCTCTAGCGAGATCGTGAAAAAGCGGCCCATTACCGAGCAAACTTCGTATGGCTCTTGACATCCCGTACGTTACGATCACATTAGACGATTCTAAAGGATAATTTAGAAAATCAAAGGTTTACAGGAAATATTGTGTGGAAAAAAAATTTACATTTCGAACAAACGAACACCAGCCTTAGGAGAGTCGTCACGCGTTTAAAGAACTACTAAGTTAACCTTCTGAACCTAAACTTCTCAAAGGCAAGTTGTGATGTCGCTATTTACATAGCGTTTCTTCAGGAAAAACTCGATGCGTACTTTGCCCTACTCGCCCTATACCGGCTATATCTAACCTGCTGTCATCGTTTACCACTTGCAAAGCTCAAAGAACACTCAAAGGAAACGTTTTAAACGATTGGCGGTATCTAAGAAAGCAGATTTTAGATTTATTGTTAAAAAGAAATATTTTTAAGAAAAAAAAAAAGGTGGAATGTGCGCATTTAGTCCGACAGTGATTATTTTTAGGAAGCAATTAGGATTGCCACGATTAAGGCGTGCGCACAAGTGCCATAGAGCTAAGTTCTTGATACTCTCTTGACCCAGTACCATCAATGTAAACGTCACGTTAGGAAACATAGTATTTGTAATATTTGGTTGTAATATTACAATATTTTGGTAAGAAATGAGAAACGTTTTTCGTTGAGAACTGTAAAAATCTATAAGCGCTTTTCTTAGAAATGCCTAAAGACCCCAGGCAATTTAGTACATATTTTAGCTCCTAAATCAAACTAGAAAAACTGATTAATATATACCGTCGTTTGAGTCAGTGAACGTAAATGTGTGAAAAAAATTCGAGCTTCCATTACTTCGGAAATGCGTCATTGTTTGTCAATAAAGACCCTCGTAAATTTATACTGCTCCGTCAAGGTGCTTGGTCAGCTAGTCTTCGCAACTTTAATTTCGTCTTTATATATATTGTAAATACAACACACATGAAGTTACATAAATATATAGGTTTTAACACAGGCCATACTGATTAAGTATCAATGACTCTAGTGAAAAACACGACCGCTGAAAGAAAAATGGCAAAAAAAAATAAAATGAAAGAAGGAGCGGCTTTCCTACTAGTTTTTGTCCTCAACATACAACTTGCAAGCCTAGTAAATAACTGCTAGCACAAATCCATGCATAGCATTCAAAAAGATAGTGCATGAAACCCTAAACTAAAATCATCAGTACTAGGGAAGGATGACCGCAAGGTACTGTTCACCTGAGTGCTTTAACCTTCGTCATTATGTAAACGCACCCAGTAAGAGCTAAATGAATAAAAAAAGGAATCATATGGGATATTGACGAACTAAATCGGCAGAAGCCCGGATATGAAGGTAATCCTGATCGGTTGTATGAAAAATTCTACCCTATGCTCTAGCTGGCTTGTTAGGGGTTGTAATTGATGAGTCTGAGGTATAGTAGAGCCCTCAGAAGATATGCTCAAGGGAGACACTAGGATCTGTTCTAATATCCAGGGCCTAGATGTACAGAAAAGGCTTTATGTTGTCACTGAATTTAAGTATCAGCACTTTGCACCAATATTAAGTTTAAAACTAGGACCAGCTTATATGATATGTTGTTTAACTAAGAAGAAGTCCGTTTTACGCATTAATGTTAATTTAAATCATGTAAAAAGATGCTAGAATAGGAATACAAAATCAAATAGATTAATTTGAAAGAAACTGAGAACTGTAAAACGTAAACGTTCCCTTGGCGGAATGTTTTCCCAGAAACGCCTTGTCCTTATAACTACCATCTGCCGAAACGCCAATTGTAGAGTTATTCAAGAAAAGGCGACAAATAAAACTTGTTGAAAACAAATTTGTTTTGATACCTCAACATTCATAAATAACTGCTTATTATACATAGCGTTACTAAAATAGCCGTCAACGTTTAGGTATTGTACACAAAGGCTCGAACCGACGGAATTCGTTTAGTCTTCTCGTATTAATTAATCGTATTATATTATTATAAGTAGTATTATATTATCACGATATTGGTAGAGTATGTAAAAGCAGTTGCTCATATTGAATAGACTAGATCCCGTAATACCGCAGTAGCAACACCTTTGCCTACTAAACTTGAAAGCATGTGAGTCGGTCTAGGTTTGAAACTGGGCATAAATATATTTCGTTTCAACTAAACAAGCCATCGAAAGCGGTGCCGGCCGTAAAACTCGAAATTTTCATAATGAAAAACTTTATAAAAGTTAAGAATGAGCCTAGAAACTGCTACTTGTGGAATTTGTTATTGATCGACATGAATGGCACTTCTTCTTCGCCAGGAGCTGAGAAAGAGCAACTAAGGGCACGACTTTGCGCAGGGTTATTAAACGTATTAAAGTGGGTTGTCTTTTACAATACGTTGCTATATAATCAAGGCTCCGAACGAATAACTGTTGACAGGGGTAGAACGTTTAATGCTGAGGAGAAAACTTGTTAGCAAAGGAAGCAACGAGAATTCTTCCCAGTCAGTTGTCATAAAAGGAATAGAGATAAACAACCACTAAAGGCTCATAATATCGGATAAAAAAGAAAAATGTGCGTTACACTCCATAAACTCGGCTTTGCTTCTATTAAAAAATAGCAAAATAAATAATTTTTTCCGCCAAAAAAGGGGAAGCGGTTAAGGTAGGCGTACGACATAGCTCAAGTAGTTCTCCAGGACAAAAAAAAAAAACGGGTTTACAGTGTAAACGCAATTTATAGCTTTCCTACGGAATCCGTTGCGCTTAGGTTATGACCCACTATGGTGGAACTGTTCACATTAATATTTTTAACTATCCAATGATTACAGATATTGTATATTTTCTAAGTGGTGATTAGATGTTGTGTATATTGGAAGATACAGACTTAGGTGTCACCGATGAAATGAAACACAACGTCCAATTCAGAGCCAAAATATCTTGTGTTATAAAACCTGAACCTTACTTCAACCTTTATACTTGTGCCTAATTATTTGTTTGCGGTTGCATTGTTCGCAAGTTTGGTTTCCATTTGAGCTCGCAGTGTTTAAGGTCGTTTTCTAAGATGAGTAACATGGATAGGTAGTGCTCTCATGAGTTTCCTGAGTTGAAAAAGCATTACATCGCTGAACAAAGAAAGTAACCTGTACAAATTACATAGATATACCTCTCTTAGCAACTTTTTGGAAATCGAGAAAAATAACTTTGTGACAGTGTGTCCATTCGTCATCGAGAAGCAGCCGCTGAGAACAATTTGTTTTCATAGCAGGTGATAAAATTATATTGTAACCACTTTGTAAATGCATGGAAGAAGGAAAACTTTGTGTCGTACTGTAGATATGGTAGATTAATCTCTAGTTGGTCGCGGCACTTCAATGACCCTTGCTCAAGGCTCAAAATTAGAAAGATATCAACACATAAACGAATAAAACTGATGATTCTTGAAAAGCTTCTATTCTGTAATTCGTCCAGAATCACTCTTAATTTTGAGGCTTTTTTTTCATCTAACAGAGTTCAATATAGAAAATTTTAGATAACAGTCAATTAACCAAATTATTAACGAGCTTTTACATAAAATCGATACAATTAATTATTATTATTATTTTTTTTAGAAAAATTAGTAAATGTCAGTTGACAGAACTAAAAGCTTAAGTGTAGGATTTTATTTCTTTGCGTAATCGGGGTTCTTGTTATACAATACCTATGAGATACGTACAGTTTACATGCTATGTACCCACCAGCTGTGTTGTAGTTAGCGGAAATGCTATTGAGCAGAACCCGGCCTCCGCTATACACCTTGAATTCAAAGGCGTCACCAAATACACTGCTAAATGAATACTCGTTACGTAAAAGAGTACGAAACGTAGCAGCCAATTGCAAGGGTGTCAAGCAGAAGAGCGCTAAATTCACGTTTGGTACTGCAGACGTATCCGTAACGTTTCTGTGAAAATTCCATAAAAAGGGCGTTTATTTAAAAATTTTTAATTAAATTAAAAAGGTCCTAATACATGTACCTCTATTCGCTGAAAAATGCGTACAGAGGGTAGGGGGGAGGGGAGGGGGGGAGGGGAGGGGTCTATTTTTTGGAGGACTTCGAAGGGTACTCTACAATTGTTTCTCTTCCTGATTCTAGCTACAGTAGTCACACTCCTAAACAGCTTAATAGTCACATGCCTTGAAATTTGCAACGTCCCCCTAAACTCCCCCTCCAACGCTGTGCAGAAGAAGAAGAAGAAAAAAAAACAGTTAGAAAGTGACAGAAACGCGTGTGTCCCATGTTCTACGGCGTTATCAAATTTTTTAGTCTACTGCAAAAAGTTAACTAGTTACAGAATTAAGAGAAAAATAAAGGCTGAACTTTTCGATTTGAAAACTCATTTTAAATGGAAGTACATAACTCACCAACCGTGTAATTTTGCAACCTAGGTCTAATGTTTCGGGACTCGAGTTTGTACGATCATCAGCAGAGAATTAATCAGTCTAGGACACTCTCGAGCCCTAGAGGGCTCTTCTTCACCAAACGAGCTTGCGCGTATTTTTCTGTGTGTGCGCCTGTTTGTGCCGATAGAGTTAGGTTTTTAACTTTATTGTTTTCATACGTGGAGAGTCAAAGCAGGAACTGCCCTTTAATCGAAAATTTGCTAGAGATTTTTTAAAAATGTTTGCTGATTAGGTAGCCAGTCGTCACTTTGTACCGTGTCACAATCGGTATTATTTTGTGAAATATACGGTTTGGATTTTACTATGACGTATTATGACATAGATGAAAGCATAATTTTAATAGAAGAACCTTATTCAATTTTTTAAAGTAACATTAGAAGCCTGAAAATCTAATTAACTTTTAGGTTATGCAGGAATTGATGTTTGCGTAAAGTATAAGGAACGAATGCGGCGACGTAGGCAGGTTCCTTCACAACCAATTCATCTATACTGAAGTATATGCAAATCTGCAAGTATATTTTTTCAACAACTGTAATCAATTTGATAAGTGTAGCTATAACATGGAAAACGTAGACTGTTTTGCGTTCAGCGGCAGTGTTAGTAAGGTGTTACCTACTGAAGTCGAAGGCGAAGATCCTGAAAGATTGGCTGAACCAGATCGTACTGGAATCCCTTGGTTTGTGCTGTCAGGATAGCTTTTTCCATATCACTTAGAAGACGCAAAGAAACATTGGCTAGACGCTCGTCTAACTTCTGCCCGTCGGCTAGTGCTGACAGAAGAACATCCACGATCACCCTACACACGGTCATCGCAGGAATAAATGATCGACAACTTACACAAGTGTTTAAAAATCTTGTATTCAAAACGACGCAATCGCACGTTTTTTTCGGCTTGAAAATATATCTTACGACATTAAAAAATAAGGGCAGACAAAAATTTATAAAAAATAATTGTTGAAGATATAAAAACAAGAATAAAGCACATTAGATATAAACATACGTGTCTGGTTTGAGCCTGTTTCGTGTAGTCTCGCTCGCATTAATAATTCCCTGCAAAAACGAGTTGACGTTCTTTGCGGGATAATGGACCATCCGATTTAAAATCGGTCCCATGTTAGCCATTAGAGATCTGGAACGCAGTTTTATTGGCGTACATTCGTCGGTTAGCACATAAACTGCCCGGGACAACCTAAGTTTTCACCAACTAAGATCCTTTAACCAGATTTAGACGTCTGTATGATAGAAGCATTTATCTGACGAATGTTTTATTGCATATGAGTGTTTCGACACTTCAATGCTACCCTAATATTTTGTCATGTAATAGAAAAGACTTCTTAACCTCGCGCACCTTCGAGCAATAGTGTCATCTCCGGCAGGAAGGGATGTCTGCGACTCCAACGGAATGTTTGACGCATTAAATAAGCCCTAAATAGAAATGGCATAAAATCTATGGTGAAAAAAACAAGCATTTACAAGTAAGAAGCCCATATAATCTAATCACGTCACCGATGTGTTTAAATAAATACACATATCTTTTTTCAACAATGTTTTCCTTCTATTTTCATTATGCAAATCCGCAAAGAATTGATCAAAGAAAAACATGGGACAAAAAAAAGCTTTCTTCATCCTGACCCTACATTTTGTCGCCTGTTTTGCACCTAAAAGGCAAAGTACATGGCTCGAATAGAATGCCGTTTATATTCGTGTGGCTGAACGGGAGAGTGAAAACTCAGCTAGGTGAAAGTTAGATCTCAATACATAGTTGGCAAAAGCTTTGAAAAAGTTTGTTGTCAATAGAAAGGCTCTGGGTTAATACCAGCCTTTTAGTGACCACTTACCCTTATCAAACAGCCACTCCACATAACACGTATTAGTGCAACGACCAAATCCAGCTGATATCATGGTCAAGATGAACCAGTGAGATAAGTACGCTTACAGAATTATAAAATACGTGTTTATTTAGAAGGAAACCAATCGTCATAACAGTTCACTGCATTATACAATAGACAGAATAAGCGTGTTGCGAAATTGTGCCAAAAACAAAGCAATGAACGAGTTAACCTAATAACGAAGTATAATGGTTTTTATTCCATTACGTGGTAGAGTCTAGACATTTACTCATTCCTAGTTAATTTAGAGCTGATATAAGAGTGACGATAATTTATTTTTCATATTCAATTGTTTCGTTAGGTATTATTTTGATGTTTTCTTATCAAACAATCAACAAATGAATTTCTCATGTTGACATCCATGTCCACAGTATCTTTTGCTACGGTGTCAAAATACTGCATCGTTTAAGGGTGCATACATTTTATATCTGAGCAGTAATTATTATTTGATTTGAGCAGCATGACAAATTATCTCCAGCCTGATTAAATTAACATCTATAACGTATATATTTCTAACTAAGACGTTTCGAAGCAGCAGTATGCCAGGTCATTGGGCGACGTAGTTTTCTACACTACACTCAGAAACTCAGATGGCAAGACCAACGCTTGCCTATTTGACATGTTTGCCATTTTCCTATCAGAAATAACGCGTCCAAACACTTTTTGTCTAGTAGAATCTTTCTCATAGCTGAAAATGGCGCCATTGTCTGAGCATCGTCTCCATATGCAGGTATTTCAGGAACGCGAAATTTAATACTGTATAACATCCTAAGACATTTTCGTTTTTTGTTCTGCTAAGTATCTTTTCCTTTTTGGAACGCACGAGCAATGCCTTAGTGATAATTAATTTCTGCTCTACTTAGTCGAATACCTATAAGAAAAGGTACTCATCGTTTCAATAACTCTTCCTTTCCAAGCTGCCGAAAATAATTTAATAACCATAATTTGGCTTCAAGCTACTAGAGGGACTGACTATCAACTATTTTAAACTGGTTTGTTTCTGCTCGAATCTCGCCCATAATTTCAATTCAAAAGTCCTGTTGCTTCCTCTATGAAATTGTCCAGTAGATTCCTAAAATTTGGCTGAGTAATTTAATTTGGATTTATAAAGTAAAAGTTTGGATTATAAGTAACTTAATCACCCATTCACAGTGTTGTTGCCGTTTATAGAGTAGCCCCTATCGTGTGGAATATATCACACATCCATGCAGTTTTTTCAACGCCTGAAAATTCTTTCTGAACTTGCAAGGAACCTCGATCGTTCTATGATTTTCTCTAGCATATCAAGCCCTTTCCATTTCAGATTCTTCTTAAATTCGCAAATTAAAAACAGCCTTTTGTTACTTTTCTGATTAGGTTGAAGATTGGCTCATATCAATAAACAAGCTTTTTGGCATTAGCAGCTACGTGTGGATGAATGCCCAAATGGTCCAGATGGTCCAAAGCCCACAAAGAATTAACTTTAGTTCGGGTGTAGTACAGAAAAATAGGCTCACATAATCACCTTAGATGTTCCCTGATACTCCTTGTTGATCAGATGCCTACACGAAATATCATAGACGAGACGAGCATTTTTCTTTACTTTTTTGTGCTATCCTAAGCTAGTGTTCTTACGTGTTCCCTAAAAGAAGGATTAGTTTAGCTGTTGATTAGGTAGTGACACCAAGTGTGTCTTTGACTATACGTTAGCGGCTTATATTATTTTCTCTATGCCAACGACCCTAGTGTTTATCATGTTTCCAAAGAATTTGAGAGTTTTCAAATATGCAGTTCCGTAAATAGGCTTGTAAAGTATTTTGAATGGAGGTGCTGATGGAATCATTGACGATTATGGAGGTACCAGGCAGGGAAGCCTTTAGCAAGGTTCGTTACCGATGCAATGAAATCGAAAGGTCGAACGTCAGGAAGGAAAGATTCCATGTTGGCCTGACAGGGATCTTATTATTTGTGGTTTGATTTATTCAAAGCTTTCGAGATTAAAGCAACTCTGTTTGAAGTTTGAAGACATGAGATCTAGTCACCGACTCTGTGGTCTTCACCTTTCCAAAATAACTGAACAAATAGTAAACTATATTTAATTGAAAGCCTCTTTGCTCGGTATTTTGACTAATTTAATTTAATTGACATAATGATTTCAATGTATCGCACGCGCGGTCGTTAAACCATTTGTAAAAAACTAAATTGCTGCTAAACAGTATCTTTGCCTCTAAATGATGACGCGGAGTCTTAGATGCTCATAACTTCGATGCAAAATTCCGTTTAAAGATTATTCGATTTGTTGACTCGCTAAATTGCTCAGGAGGACTTAATATTATTATTAAAGTTGGTACCTGATATACGTAGTAGATGCTATCATTGCATCTTTTTACCGGTGAGACAAAGGCTGCAGCTTCCAGGCAATGTGGGTTGTAGTGAGCTCGCAGGTACTCACCGAGGCATCGCATTTGGATTTTTCCATTTGGCGTCAGCTGACCTTTAAGCATAACGCTAAATTTAGTGTTTGGCGATTGTTCTTTGGTGTGCATTTAACTACCTCTCATGAAAATAGCGTACGTCTATTCATGGAACACCTAAAGCGGGAACAATTTTGTAGTTTTATAGAGAAATAGCATAATTACTATCAGAATAATAGAGTAATTGTAAGCAAAAGTATAATTCTATTTTGAATGAGGAGATTAGTTAGAGTGTTTTATAATTAATAGATCAGTATGAGTTGAAAAAAGGTTATATCTAGGCTTTTCCCAGAGTTTCACATTATGTCGTCTTGAGGTTACCCTTCATTTTCGCAAGCATTAGCATCTAGTATCATCAAAACCATTAATTTCATTCATTACAATAAGCTCATATAAATGCAGTATGTCTTAAGGACACTGACGCGTTGACTGCACTGACCTACATCAGTCAGGACATTGACTAAATAAAAAGATAACTTTGGACATGGTACCGCTTCGGTTGTTTTCTTAATATTGTCGAACATTTAATTGAATTTAAAACATATTTTACTTATAACGTTGATACAGCCAGTAGATCAAGCTATCATATCCATATCTAGAATACTAGTATTGGTTGTTTCTCCATAGCTAGTAGACTTGGAGAGGATTGAATGGCAACGGGAGATGACATAAAGTAGAGTAAAAAGAAATAGATAAAAACAATAGCATTAGTAGTAATAATAACAGTGATAGCATAATGAAGAGGAGTATAGATTAGGTTACAATCTAGGTAAGTTATCAAGGCAAGTAAGGCAGCTATAATAAGAGGGCAAAAAAATGATACTTTTCAAGAGACTCGTAAAGAAGTAGTCAATGACAGATGTCAACAACTAATTTTTTCAAGAGGTTTTGGCACACAGCTTCATGATATAGAAAGTTCGTAATTCGGGCCTTCGTGGAGCCATTCGTTACGGAGATTACGGGCGGGGAGACTAAATTACGTACGAGAACGTAAGGCGCCAACTGAAAAACCACACCATAAATCATGATGCAAAAAACGCCTCTGGTAAACAGATTAGTAAGTGAAAAGCTAGAGGCGTAGTTTACGAAGTTATGAGATATCGGGAAAAGCATAGACTAAAGGAAAAGGAAAAACAAAGGGGGCACAGATAAATCCGAAGATGGCGCATAGGGCATCCTTTTATAAAATTTGGAGTCGATTTATTTTGCAGCTATGGCTCGTGTCCCATGCTATCAGGCAATAGGAATACATGAGCAACAAATAGGGATTTGAAAACTAAGTTTAATGTTTTCCAAGAAAGCCAAAAAAACTTGAGGTGCTAGAAAGTGGAAATAATACGGAAACATTCGGTTTATATGTTGTTGTTAAGAAAAATCGCCTTATAAAAAGAGAAAAGGCATCACTAAATTTCAACGGGAGTTAGACGTAGACAACAACGTAGACTATCACGACGCAAAATGCGAAACGAAATTCCTTAAAAAGAATTACTAATATTTTGGATGTATTAAATAGGAACTTTAGGAAACAATAGATAACAAACCTTATCGACAGGTACGAGTTAGCCAGAGCTAAATCTTAGGCGATAGAGTGTTTTCTGATTTTGATCAGTGTTGCGGCATCATCAGCAAAACACTGGGCGAGATATAGAGATTTTGATTCTTCATAAATAGGAAAAGAGTAACGTAGAAGAAAAATAGTATAAGGCCTAGAACGGTAGCCTATCCGACACCTTTCGAAACCTGGACTGGATCAGGCAGAACTCCCGAGATATTGACTTGTATAGGTCTCCTGATTATGTATTTCGTGAGCTATAAATAGGGTCCATTACGGAATCATAAATGGGATAATAGTCGGATAAGAACAGCATGGTCCAAACAGTCGAAAGCTCAAACGTCGAGGACTAGCCCAAACACCGCCTTGCCACCAACGACGTGCATAATCAGGTCATGAAAACTACCCTCGGTAGAAAAGCCGTTTTGAAAGCCGAATTGGGGACGGTTTTAGATTTGAGATGGGGTTCAAAGTGAGTGAGAATACATAGTTTAAAGATTTCTATGAGAAAAAAGTTATGGCGATTGGCCGTAAAAACCGGGATCGTCTTTAGGATGTCTGCTTTCATACGTAGGATAACAATAACTGTTTTAAAGGCCCAGAACTGCTAGAAAGTGTTATGTTTAAGGATTTTACTGGAGGTCGGTAACATTGCTCTTTGATAGCAAATTTCATAGTAACCGTAGATTTTCACAATAAGAGCTGTGTCTATGGGCGAGAGGAAAAAAATAAGGGTAGACGGAGTAGCCAAAACATAGGTGCAGAAATTAGGGACTGAGTCAGAATGTATTGTGTTCAAAAGGCAAGCTGTGGAGATTAAAAACGGGTCTTGCTGAACTTACCTAGGGTCCCTATAACGACATTACAGTTCCATATTCTATATATCCATATTTCTCAGCCTTTAGTATCGTAATCCCTAATAATCATAGTTCTATGTAGTAATAATTTTGTCAACACTAAAATTCTAACTAGTGACGGCCACATGTTTCTTTTGTTGTGATTAGAATGGCAGCTTATTTGGAAGGATGCGTATTGGCTATCCAAACCACGCCATTACGTATGCTCTGTGAAATTAAACCTCCAAAGCTGTCGTAATTTACGAAACCAAAAATACCTACACTGAAGTGGCTTGTACATTCTTGACTTCTTAGCGGGCACCAATCGGCCTTTTGTTTCCAAGGTACTATGAAGCCCAGCCGCATAGAAGGAAGATCTGTTAGATTTTTTACTTAAATCTAATAAATTTTCTTTGCTGCAGTAATGTTTAATCCTGCGCGACAATTTTCGAATACTTCCAAGAAATTCAACATTACAACCATGGAAGTAAACAAGTTCAGGTTAAGGATTTAGATCAAGCTGCCGCTGTGTGCAGGTCCAAATCGAGAACCACGTGTTTCGCATGAACTATGCGCTTAGTGTGTGTTATTAAATACGCTCTCCCTAATTCGTGTACGAAATCTAACTACACATTGAATTACGTTATTCTTAATTGTAAAACTAATGAATATGGTGTCTCATTCAAATCATAGAAGTATTTCTCTTCCAGCACTTCCAATGCGAAAGTAGATGTCATCAGCAATAACCTAACTATAAAAATTACTAAGGCAGTTATAACTACGCGGTAATGGCACGATGGAGTTGACCGGGTAACAAGTTAGCTTCACACCACGCACCGGAAATCGCGGGGAATGGCCTTAGGTAAAACCTAGAGCTCCACAGAGCTGCATGCTGCTTTATGTGATGTCTACAGATATTTTTTAATAGCACGTAATTAGGAGATACAAAAGAACGATGTCGCATCTGTTACGCTGTAATGTTTTTTCCTGACAGCTGTCAGTTAAACAAACGTTTATTTACAGTCTTGTATTCTGTGTAATGAGTTTGGGATCTCCACTTGTAATGCCTTGTAATTCTGCACATAAAGCTCAAAATATTTATTTAAATTCAATATCCACTTTTGCCTAATCAAAATAAAAGGCTGAGCTTATGAACAGCACAGAATAAGCCATGGCATAGTATATTAACCAGTTTTAATGGTTATACCTAGATATACCCCGTTCTGTGGGTGCAGATTGAAATCACCATAAAGGATATCTAAATGATCTACTTCAAGGAGAACGTCAAGCTCGTCACTTGAAATTATTATGCTTTTCTCAGTATGCTTGTGGTTCATGTGAGTGGAAAGTTTACAGTCGGTCATTTCACTAAAACTGCTCTTGCTTGATCTACAAGATGTTCGTCAAAACTTATTGGCGACATTTCAGCATCTAAAAAGTGGGGAAGCTTTACTCAAGCTTAGTAGTGAAACCCAGGACCGTGCACTAACTGAACATAGTACACCATGGAATGTACTTCCTATGTAAATTCCTTTCAAAGTCAAAAATCTGAGAAGAGAAGCATGTTTAGAACCAGCTGGTCGTCGTAGTTAATGAAACTTGATTATTGTATAAAAAAAAAATCAATAATTTCTGTGTGCCTAAAGCGGTCTTCGGATTATTACCATACTTTTAGCTAGACTGCCAGCTAACTATTGCTGGGCTAAATAACCATTATAATAGGACTGTATTACCCGTTAAACTTCAAAAATATGGGAAATTGTGCAGGTTGACCTTATTGTAGGCTCTAGTTATTGTCGAAACGACCATAGGTTACAGAAGCCTCTTATGTTGTGCACTTAATAATGGATAAGATAACAAGTACCTACGTTATGCAATAATGCAAGGAACTTTGTCTCTATGAACGTGGGTCAAATTAGCTAGAAGTGGGCAATGACCCTGCACCATTTCTTGCTCTCGTCAAGCGTAATCCTTTAGGAGTGCAACAACTTATTGCTGTTCAGACATCATTTAAAGTTAATCCCTAAATAGCACAATAAATTCGGGCTAAAATATCTCGTGATAGGAAATAGTATTAGCGGTCATAACGACCTAGAAAATGCCAAAAAAAAGTGCAAAATTAAACTTGTGGACGGTATCCTCTCTTCACGGGCTCGATCTGTGAAGGTTTACCCTTATATATAGGTTGAACGAGGTATGCTGATAGCACAGAAATATACTTGGAATTGAAAATAAAAAAAATCGGACTAAGCTTTACTGTATTTGTTAAAAAGATAGATTTGTTTAATTTATTATTTATTAAATAATTACTAAATACTTTCCAGTGCGTTTTAGCGCCTCGAAGTGAATTGCGTCAACTGCGTATGAATCTTTGAAGTAGCCTTTGTCTGTAGACATAATAATTGGGTACGAATCTACGCTCTACATGTAATTAAGCTAAATCCTGCCGTCCCCGTATCAGCGACAACGGAAGCAGAGCTTCAAATAACGCGATTACCAGTGTTCTTGTGCACCATTCTCAACAGCGAAATGTTTGACTTGATCTAGCCCTGCGACTTGAAAAACATTATTGACAGCCAGCCAAGCATCGTTACCGAATGAAATACTGTGGATGGATTCCGACCAAGTGATATGTCTAGTTTAGGTGTGTGAAGCCAGAGCAGAAGGAAACACATATCCCGTGTTGAAGAAAACTATCTCGGTGCATCAAACAACTGCGACATATGGATGTTAATAAATCCAAGGCCATTTTTTGCTATGACGTCTACAAGCCGGTTTCGTGTCGTTGTTAGAGAGGGTGCAATTGGAATCGAAAGCGTCTGTTCAAGAATAAAAGGTGTAAGCAGTATTTAGAGCAAGAATGTGCAATAATTACATTTCTGGGAACGGTTGTCAACTATCAAACAGAGCAGGCCTACAAAGGTGGAGAATTCAAACGATTCTAAACGATTTCAGCACTCGACACCATATTTATCCACTCGGTAAACGGAGATAGAGAATGGCCATTTGTTGCTTGAGGTTCGAGTTAAGCGGTAGGACAAACTAAGGCCAGCGTGACGGTGATACTATTCCCGCTGTTCTGTACGGAGCCACAAGATTTTGAGAAATTCCAGTTTCGGCTAAACGTTTTAGAGCCAAAGGCTCCATGCAGCGTAGGCTGCCTATCCCATTGATGAAAAAAAAAAGCTCTAGCTTGTTAAAACTTAGAAGGTCCATGTTCCTTAGGTTTTCAAGTCACCGCGCGAAAATACAGGCTTGCTTGCTTGCTGATACGGGACGAAATGAGGATGGTGTTAAAGAAATATTACAGAAAGTGTAGCCTGTGTCTCTCATCTTACTGCCTCGTTCGATTAAAAAATTGGAGAGGCTCATTTCAATAGGAATTCTCGCATCTGTGACCCCACTCCAACTTCGCGGTCCCGGCGGTGGTCGTAGAAGAGAGGACGGGAACAGTTTGCTTCTGCACGTATGTTACCACACTTTTATTGGCTGTATGGCCATATGTGCGTAAATGTATACATTTTGCTATGCAATATATGCATATAATATATGTATTTTTCGCCCAGACCTAATGACGCTCAATGCGGTACCGCCATCTATGTGCAACTACGGAAGAAATATTCAAAAAGCTCAACGGAAGTTGGAACTGAGTGATATATCGACCCGTGAGTAAAACCATGTGTTCCAGCAGGTTGTCGATTCATCGGTATTAAAATTGCCGGCACCACCCAAGTGTCATACCTTCATAAGTCGCCTCAAAAATGACCAACAAGTACTGATTTCGTTCGCAGTGAGTACGAATCTCCATAAAGCTTGAAAAATGTACTTCTGCAAAATAACAGGTCTGTTACGTCGGCGTCGACATCGACAAGTATGGGCTCTGTTTAGATTCGAGCAAAGCTAAAATGATTACGGGAACGTTCCTACTCAACAACCACGACGTATTTACTTCGCGCAGGCATAAGGTACGAGCGTCCTTAAAACGTATATTCGAGAAAAGCGTATAATTCTAGTTAGAGAGTCCATTCTACGTACGGATCGCCATTCACTCGTAAGCATCGTTCGCAGTAGCAATGTATTCCTCTGCATGGTTAATCGTCTCCAGCGATGAACCACCATCCGGTTCAAGTGTGATTTTGCGCAGAAGTACCAATCAACCTCACAGTTCGGTATTTTCTAACTGAAAAACGGCATATAAATACAACATCTGAGAAACGGTTGTCGTCAGCGTCAAAAGTAGAACGAACGTCCGGTCCGGTCCGGTCTGTTCAACTGGACCATACCATTAATTAAAGATCTATTCATGATGTTTCCAATGGCCTGAGAAAAGATTCAACTATAATCAACTAAAATACCTTCCATTCAAAAGAATAGCGTGACTTCTCTAACCGTGGACGAGGGCGTGTTGGTATGAAATCGCATCGTCACTGCGCAACAAGTGCAGAAAATACTGCACCGTGGTCATTTCAACATAACGTGTACGGAGCGACTCTTGTGAGCTAACGTGTGTTGACCAAGAATTAGCATGACATTATCAAGCTTATGGGTAGCAACAGCATTAAATCCGGTTGAAAGTTGCGGTCGTGAGGAGCTCCATTTAGCCGGCGAAAGTAGATATATATCGACTTCTCTCAGCAACTGGTGCAATAGTCATGTTGACACGTTCGCTAAGTGACCAAAGATTCTAAAGATATTTGGCTTCTGGTCTACAGCTGTTACATTTACTTCCCCAAGGGGTACGTTGTTCGTTATAGTAATTCCGTTGCATTCCTCCCTGACAGGTCTGAAGATTTGGAGTAACTGTAAATCACCGTTTTAGAGCCTTGTTTAGAAGCGACCACTGAGAGTCGGCTTTGATCAGTTTTCTCCACTGCAATTCCAAGGCGTTAATTAGAATTAATTTTAGTTTTTAGTTTGACCTGATTATGGGTGATTTGCTCCATTCATTGCCGTCCCATCGCCCGAATGGTCAAGATAATGCCTTCTTCAAACGAGGCTTGTGGCAGCTGTGAAATGAGAAAAACTACATTAGATTTTCTGGTGACGTTCTTAAACACACATCGCAGCGCACTTCCTGATGTCACTCGTGGCACTGCAAACAGAGTTATTTCAATGTCGCATGACGTTACGCACTTGCTTCGGCGGGATTGTCGCGAAGCGACCGCGACACGAAACCATTTATAATTCCAACCGAGCGATATCCTGTATCCCAAAACCTATCATCTTCATACCACCGAACATAGCGTGAGTAACTGCAACGGTGTTGGGAAACTTCTATGTAACATGATAAGTTATGTATGCGATATGCTAACCAGCCAAACCCAGAGTACAAACGGACTTGTAGAAGACGTCACCGGAGACTTCTCAATTTTCGGTTCTCATCCCTTCAGTTAAGATGTCTGCCTGTGATGCAACTGACCTATACCGGACACAGGTGTTTACACCGCTCAGCCAGTATTATCGACATTCGGGCAATAGTACTCCGCCGTCATGAAACATTACTTTGAGTCGCACCCAGGATACTTGCCGACAGTTAATATTCGAAACAAAATTCGACGAAGGAAGAGCTTCCAATTTTTTTGGAATGTGTTGGAGAGACAGACTTCCTCTACCCACAAATTAATTTATTGTATATATATATATAAATGATGTGGTATAGTATACAAGATCGATGGTGATCGTTCATTCGTAGGTTATTTCGATTGCATTATTTATGGCCTTAAAGCTTGAAAACCTTAAAATTTAGGGCATAAATGGGAGTAATTAATTCATAACTTATTCTTATGTGGATATAGATAAAGCCATAGAGAGTAATCAGTACGTTAAGCTCTCAAGTAAGGGCACTTGAAAGCAGCTTTTTGCGTATTATTTGTCACATTTTCTGCTACATTTACTTCTAAAACATTTTTTGCTGGACTCATGTAAAAGAGTCTAGTTTGTATGTAATTGTACGTAAAAGCCGAGGGTCGTAGAGAAGGTGATGACTTGCCAGCTTATACGGCTCGATTCCTTTCAGCTATTGTATCGCGGCTCGTCGCTCTCATCTTGAGAAATATGTTATCTATCTTGATCGATCTCTACTTTCATGTTTTGGGACATTTGGGGCAGGCGCCGAAGCGATGTCCCAATATTCTCGATCAGTCATGGGGCTTTAGCTGGGGAGTAACCTAGTCACTTTCCTATCGTATGATTGATGTTTGGCACACGTTTCAAAGAGGAGGCTTTAGGTCGAGTAATTCAAAATTTCCTACTATAAGAACTCTTTAAATTAAATTTATCCCGTAAGCCGCTACAAGCGTCACTTTCAAATCAAATAGGTGCAGTCCTGTCACGAGGAAGCGGTTGTTCGGGGCCCTAATAGCAATGCAACGTTGACGAAGTGGAACAGTGAAATAAGTGAGATAGTAAGAATGTGGCAAGAAACGGCAAGAAACCCGTCGTGGTCCTTTTTCTCCACCTGAATTTTACAGCCTCCGTTATTGCTAAGGTTACTTTGTTACTTAAAGCCTGCCACACTTGAAACCTGCTGTAACTATACCTGACCATAATCTTTTCGTGAAAAACAATTTCAACTAAATTTCCTTTTGTCCTTTATTCTGTCAGGAAAGTTCTTAGGAAGGACCGAGAGCAAAATATAGTTCAGACAGTCTCCTTGGTTCAGGCCGGCAGGCCGCAGAGAAAAGACGGAGAGTTCGACCACTCCGTCGTTTATGCGTATCTTATTCTTCTGTAGAATGGCAGTTGTAGCAGAAGAACAAATTCGCGAAATAATTACGTACATGTATATATGTAGAACAAGATTACTGGTTCGAGATCGAATGTGGTTCTAAAATCAACGAATAGTGCATACAGAGGGCTTTATATGTTGTTGAGAGATATTCTAATGGCAGCAATAAACAGCGTTCTTGCTGTTTCTGATTATTTTTTTCCAAAACTCCTATTGTTCCTTCGGTACAGTTCTTCTGTCTTTTCAGGAAACGGACAGTCTCTTGGTCGGCAAACTAGCGAGTAGCTCCTAGCAAACATTGTTCCTAGCGATTCGGCTCCTCGACAATGGCAATGTTGCCTTAGCTTTGCCTTTATAGGACACTGAAAGAGAAGCACTGGTCGTATTGCCGTCATGAACCTACCGATGAAGTAGTTAATCAAAACAATTGAGCTTATCGGGTATGCGGTCTACCTACGGCGTGTTAACCATACGCATAGCTGCGGTTCTGCCGATGCTGTTCTCCAGGTAATTCTCCAACGTCTTAACATATTCCTTCTACCGTGTGGAGTACGTTGTTCGGCAAAGTGTCTTAAATGTAGCGGCCAGGGGATAGCGTGCAGCTAACACCGTTGCTTTTAGCCTGAATATCTTCTGAGCTGCTATTTCTTTGAATTAAAATAGATTTATTGACTGAATATCTGCTTGAGTCGTTATTCAGAGAGAAGAAGTAATATGCATGCTTTTTATAAATGTTAATTGATGGATTATCTAACGTGTTAGATTAACACATTGGAATGGATGTATTAATCCAATACATCCATTGGATTAGTACATCCATTCTGGTGAAAACGTTAATAGCTTCTAGTATTTTCGCTTTTTGCAATGAGTGTTTTTAATAAGCACTTACGCTGTTGTTGTATAGAGATTTTTCCTCCGAAGTACGAATTGATAGTGTTCTCGGGAAACGCAGGACCGTGTGTGAAGAATATAACAGACATCATCCAATTAGGCTCAACCACACGCGATTCGATAAGGGATACTATTGTGCAAAAATACAAATATACTAAGTTAGCCTGCAAAACTAGAAATGTCCATATCTCACATATTCCACAGATTTCTCTAACAAATAACCGTTAGGCAAAAATAGGTGCCAATGTTAAGAATTTTTTATGTCAGTTAAGATATAGCTTAATGATGGGCATATGCCATTGAAACGAAATGGTTTAGCTAAGTGAGAAGATCTAATGTATAAGATAGGCCACATAAAAAGGCAGCTAAGAGAGCTAGAGCTTAATCAAAAGAATGATGAGGGACCGCATATTTTTGGCTTTCTGGTTGGTAATAGTGATAGTACCTAGTTAGTTCACATCCCTTAGGGTTCCTCCGACCAACATTTGTATCATGACTACCTAGGGAAATGAATATGCCTATAGTTTTAGATTAACAAGCAGTTTCGGCGTCATCGCAGGAAGCTTTGAGAATGACATTGTAGGAACCACTAGTATAACCCTAGGAGGTACGCTTGATTCGCTCGACGGTGGCAATGAAGGTGACGAGATTTACTTCCACACTTTTACGCAAGGGTGGCTGTGATTGAACAACGATTAGAATGCCGCGAAGACTGCTAGGGACTGACTATCCCATTGACTGATATCTTTACAACAGCTGACGGGTTGGTTCCACGATATTCTTGTTAAAGGGCTATAATGTCTTTTTTTGCCGGATTAATGAGTTTCCACGCGACTTTCTGGTCAAAACAAACGCCCTCTACGAGGTTTCGAAGTCCCTGCATTTATACAGTATACGGAAACTCGAATGGGAACTTAATAACTGTTCTCAATTAGCCAGGGGCAAGGACTTGAGTTTTTTTTCTCAGGTGCACAAATAACGAAAAAAAAAAAAACTGTGCGTTCAAACTTATAGAACAGACGCAGTAGCGAGCGCTATAGCAGCGTAGAACTCGCTTTTCTCGATCCTCGAAAAGGGATTCGAGGCTACAGAAACGAACTTCCGCTGTTTTTAGTATAGACTGAAGTAAGTGTTTTTCACAGCATTACCACGACCGAGATATATATCAAGGCAAAGCGGTCACTAGCGGGGCCCAAAGAGCCGGTGCAAGATTTAGCTGACGGATGGATTCTTTCGCAAGAGTGGGCCCTTTTTCAAGGACTCCTTCACCTAGGCAAATGACGAGCCGCGATGAGGCCCAAGAATGCGGGAACGGTGCACAATTTGCAGAAACAGAGATTTAAGGGATCAGTGAGATCTCTCCTACTCCTGTATCTTCGTCGAGCACTGTGATAAACCAGGACAAAAATAAAGCACGCACGACGAGCATGCACAGATCCCAGAGGAACGGATAGAATAACGTAGTGATAGGGTCCGAAACCGGCAACGCCCACTTTTCAAATAACAAAAAACACTTCTAGGCTGCCGTCACATTAGTTGCGCCATAGGAAAAGAGACAAAGTAGGAAGAACCAGAAAGAAAGATACACACAGAAGATCGCCACAAACCAACCAATCAGCCACGCTGGCTGCCTCGAGAAGTTGATCACAGTGACCTTAAAATATCTAAGGAAAAAATGCGGCATCATGCAAGTGTCGACTAAGGCCGGGATAACGAAAATGGAACTAATAGCTAGCAAAAAAGACATAAAAAGGGAAATCAAGACCAGGGACCTACAAAAAAACGACGAGCTATAGTTGCTAACTTCGGCACGAATTGCACAATTATAAAGCCTTCGTGGCTGCATAGAACCGCTCTTAGAAAAAAGCACCATTCTAAAGTAAAGCCTAGAGGACTCTCGCTTAGCCCAGCTCCTCAATGCGTAGGAATCTATCATATGCACCACCATATGTACCACAGCCAACTGTATTGGGAACGTTTTAGGGAGCTCAGAGTTAAAAGGTAAGAACGGGTAATAAAAAATGTCCTGGTTAAGCTAAAATGCTTGACAAAGCGATAGTAGTAGCAGTCAGGGAATCACCCGAAGAGTCTTTCAAGCGCGCAGCGTTGAGAAAGGCCAGAATCCTAATAACACGCGTAAGAAAAGCCACGTTGATCGTGTACTAATCGGAAAAAAGCTCTTTTAAGATACCTCACAGCACAGCATTTCTCAGCAACGCCACTGACAAAACTGGCGCCTAAGGGACTATTAACATATGCAATAATTATACCATTGAAGTAATCAATGAAGCTAGCAATCATTTTACGATCATCAGCTCAGTGGGGAGTGAGCACGGTGGCTGGTGAGGGGTCAGTAATGGGGTTTTCGGGCACGCTCGGAAAAATCATCAGAAGTAGCACGACTATGCATAAAAACGTAAACCTTTGGTCCTTCGTTAATATTGTCAGCGTTAACCGAAAATATTCGAAATGGTATTCTTTTGGAGGTTGATGTACGTGACGTGGTCGGTCCCACCACAACTGTAATCTCGTACTAGTACATTCTTTCATGAAGGCTAAACAAATTGATAAGAATTACGATCAGCATTAATATTGTTTGAGTGCGCGAAATAAAAGACGATGCATGGCACTGCCTCATTACTACTCTACACAAGGCTGCTAAAAGACTGGTCACACATAGGAAACCCCAGATCAGTAGCTCTAACCGCCGACTGGGAGAACAGGTAACAAATCCTACATATTTCAACTGGCAGAGGTTTGGGCAAATTGAGCAAGCACGACAAACTAGAAAGCAAATGATGTTATAAACTGGGCAGAATTAGTTATATGATGAAAGATTGTAACAAACCTACTCACTCGTAAGAGAGAAAATAAAAGGGCATACAGTTAGTTTTATGTCCTGCCCGAAGTACATGGAGGTCGTAGAGACCCGAAAAAAACTATGCAAAGGAAACTGGTCAAAGCCAATACCCACTTAGAAGACGAAATTTTGAAATAGACACAGCACCGCTTGGATCGACTCTAGGGGGTAGCAAATGTAGCCTCTACTATCCGAAATAACAAGTGACTTCAGACTGATATAGATCAACTGCAACTATAGCTAACTTGCCTACGAAATGGTATAAATAATAGTTAATAGAGAGAGGTCAGGCTTACGCTCATTAGTGAACTAAACTCAGCATTGGTAGGCGGGAAATCAAAATGAGTCAATTTCAATTGCGGGATGAATGATTTTCGTGAAAACATTTTAGGTGCTCTCACAGAATTAATCCGCAGTGCACCTAACCCAATCAGAATTCTTGTCATACGGAAAGTTTAAACGCGGCCACTGAAAAATGAGACTTGATAGATATAGAAGAGAAAAAGCTTCCAGAATGAACCGCTGCTAATAGCGTAGCGACTACAAATGATGTGGCGGAATTTATTCTCCATCGGGCAGAGGAGAAGACTTTCAGGAGTCTTACTGTAGCAGGCAGATTGAGGAAATCACGGGCTGGCAGGTGCCTCTAAATGAAGAAAACCTCAACGATCATTAATGCATAGAGTATTTAGTGGTCAAGGAGACACCGCAGACCATAGCTCAGAGAAACAGGTCTAGGTTGAAAAATCCAGAGGAGTTTAAAGCGGCGCTATGTAAAGTAGTGTAGGAGCAAGGCTCTTTCAGCCATGGAGAGCTTTAACGTGCACAAAGCTTGCACGTTGGCAAGTTTCCAACCATGCACTTCAGTCGAGAGAGGATGGTAAAACGAAAATATTTGTGGAACCCCAGCATTGCGGAAGCGAAAAAAACCAGTTTACGGCCCGAGTAATTATCAACAGAGGTAGAGAAGTAAACAACGACGCTCTACATATGAACGACGTCGAGTCATACTAAGATGCTGGATGACATTCCTTGAAGAATTAAAGGCAGATCCCTAGGAACGACGTATAAGATCGCCAGGGATAAGATTAAAAGAAACGCTCTTATAGTAGAAGTTCCCGAGCAGGAGGGACTCACACATTGTGGAAACCGTTCCCATAATATGAAGATTTCCGTCGCAAGGCCTTTGAGGAAGTTAGACCCGAAGTCTTTGAGACAGGTGAGATGTTTTTAGTCCTAATCGTGGAAACTTTGAACGCTGCCAAACTGATTGGAAGAGGAAAAGTTTGCTCTTCAAGAACTTTTCAAAAGTAGAGACGAGTGTTACTGAAAGGTTTCAGAGAAGGCAGATTGCCAAGTGACTGGAAAAAGACGGAAGTGACACTGATACTGTGTGGGTAGGAATAGACTCATATGCTCAATTACTATTATCGCCAAAGGTTTCGAAGCCATAAGAGAAGATACCCTTCAAAAATTCACAAAAAATGTCCGGTTTCCTCTTAGACCTGCAGTATGGATTCAGAAAGCATCGGTCGTTACACACCCTTATTCAGCGTATGTCCGAGATGCCGCACTAGTCTGCGGCCAGGAGACGCAAGAGACACAAAAGACCTTTTTGACAATCCTGCCGGATATACATAATACTTTGAATAGCCCCCGTGGAAAGTTCTTCTGAATAACATAATGAGGACGCCTGAATATCTGATACGGGTTACCTATAGCTAGTTACAGGACAGAAGAGTCGCGAGCACGGGAACCTCCATGAACATGAAGGTGAGCGTTTCAAAAAGTTCTACCCTTAGGTTTTTTTTTTAGTGAAATACAGCATATAATGATGTCCTCCGCTTTCGGCGTTTTCCATAAAATTCGAGACACCCGCACATACGGATTTATTTGGTCATCACTGACCCGATCATATCCGAGCTAGAAACAGGACTTTACGCTGGTAAAGCTTTGAGTGCTGTCTCGAATGGGAATTCGGGCTTCGAACTAGCTCTAGAAAAGAACAATGGAGACTTTGCTGAAAAGAAGAAAATAAAAGAAAGATATAATCCCAATTAACCTACGCTTGATGAAATCAAAATCATAAACAGGACAAAAAATATTAGGGTGTACCTGGACAGATCACTCAGTAACAAACAACACATAAAGATGGCTATAATAAAGGCGGCGAAGCAGCGACGCCGATAATTGGAATTCTTGCAAACAGAGAAAGGCAGGCCGCCGCAGACAACTAATGTTTGCCGTAGAGTTAATAGCTTTTT